TTCAAATATGGGAAAAAAATTCTGGGGAAAAATCCCTTGGAAAAAAAATCCTTTAACTCTGTAACATTTTTTAGAAACACACCTCTGAAGCTGCAAATTACACAAAATTAGCGAGCTGTGGGTGCGTGTTAGCATTGCCATGGCTCTGCCTAAAGACCTGCAAAGTCCCGTGCTTCCTCCCTCCGCGCGGGCAGGCGGGCAGCGGCAGCAGCCCTCTTGGGCAACACTCGCCGATGTGGCTGTGCTACGCACACGTGTTCTTAGGCAATTCTTCTCTTTCCAGTAGCCACGTGACTTTCTATGGCAAGAATTACTCAATGTGCAGTTCCTGTCTGAAAGGTCCCATCCAAAGTATTCAAAACAAGTTTCAAGCAAACCACACATCGCAAACTTCTGCATTTAGGTAGATATTATGGTTATTTTACAAGTGGGAAAACTGAGGTAATTTTGTTTTTTTTAAAGGGAGGCAGATGCTGCAGTTGTGCAGGCACCAAACCTCCCCAGTGATTGTTTAAAGCTAGGGACGAGCATTGAAAAAACCCAGATATGACAGAGGCTGTATATTTGGGCATGGATCCCCCAAACCATTAGTGCCTTTTGCCAGGCACACACACCCACCCTGCCCCAGAAACTAATCTTGCTCACATTCAGATACTGCTCTGCAGTTATTCCACATTTCAGATTTTCAGTGTTTCTCCCTCACTGACACACCAGGCTGCACACCGCCAACCAAAGCAGAAGTTGCTTTCTGCACTGTGGTTATAAGGGAGTTAAAGTTCAGGTTTCTAATTGCTCTCTTAAGGCCTTATTACTTGTTGATTAGGTCCTTTTGGGAACGGCATCAAACCTACAATAATAAACACTCATTTCACTGGAAAGTTTGTAGCTGCCGTGGCAGCCCTAAAAAAAAACGTGGAGCCGGAAAAGGTGTTTGCAACTTCTCCAAGAGGCTTTTTGGGCTTCCAAGCAGTCAGGGTCAGAATGGCTTCTTCCCCTTCGGCAGCGGCGCTGCTGCTGGGTGTGCTCCTCTCCTCGCTCCGAGCCGGCGCCTCCAGCTGCGGAGCGGGGTCTGGTTCCGGAGCGTGTGCGTGGGGCAAAGCCATCTGCCAGGGTTCCTGCAGAGCCGTGGCTACCTTCCCAAGCGCCGGCCGTTCTGGGGACAGCAGCAACTATGGCAGAAGTAAGATCGCCGGCGTCCTGCTGCGCGCCGGTCAGTTCTTGCGGAGGTTCCGCCTCTCGATGGTCGTGGCGGTTTGTCCCTGTGCGTGTCACGGCCCGGAGGTGCTGTCCTGCAGCCCGCGTGCCTTACGCTTCAGCAGAATAATCTGATGGATCGGGATGCTGAACGTCTGCTGGTATTAGAATCATAGGACCGTTTAGGTTGGAAAAGACTTTTAAGAGCGTCAAGTCCAACCGTTTCAAAAGTTTGCAGGTAAATTGAAAAGATCGTTCGAGGGAAAACAGGAAATGCTGAAAAAGAAGTTAGTGCAACAGAACAACTTCATGCAGTTTCCATACGGCTTCTT